CAAAGAACATAGAACTGAAAAGTGAAAAATATTTTTTCAAATAAGCTTAAAACAATAACGAACGGAAAATACTAGTATTATTGTGAAAAAAGCGTGAGCGCTTTGTGCGATATTTTTTGGGCAGTTGGAGTATTTCTGGTTCTACATCAAAATTTGGCGAATTTTTCAATATTCTAGAGTTAACTCTATCAGAAATCGTTCCTGACTCTGATGAAATAATATGTGGAGGCGACGTTAATATCGATCTCTTGTGTATTACTGGAAATAATACAGAAACCTTTTTAGACTGCATTGATAGCTTGAATTTAAAACAATTAGTTGATACGTCAACAAGAATCACTGATGTTACTTCAACTTTACTTGACGTTATTATAGTATCCAATGAAGCAACAGTTAATCACTACGGCACTCAGGACACATCTCACATATCTGATCATAATTTAGTGTTCGGTGCAATTCATCATGAAAATTATAGAAATGACGAACAGTTTTTTACATATAGAAATTTTAAGCAAATCGACAGAAATCATTTGCTGCAGCTGCTGTTACTATCACCCTTTGATGACATTTTGTTTTTTCAGGATGTTGATGACAAGATTAAATATTTTACTGATTTGATGCTACTCATATTTGATACTGTTGCGCCAGTAAAAAAAGTAAAAGTGAGGAAGGTTCAACAACCATAGCTCTCTGATAATGAAAAACTGTAGGTCTGAGGGATAAAGCTCATAAAAAATTCAAAAAAAACTAAGAACGTTACTGATTGGAACTATTATAAATTGCTAAGAAACCAAACCAATATCATGATAAGAAATGAGAAAAAAACATATCTTAATCAGGTTAGGAATCACCTCCTTGAATGTTTTACACTTATTCAGTTACACCCTGTATTTGAATTGTACTCCTTTATTGAATTCAGTTTGCAATGAGGAAATTCGTTATTAGGAACATCTTTAAAGTATGTGAAATGATGTATCAGGTGGAAATTGTATTAATTTTCCTTCAGTTTCATGAGTTGTTCCTAGAAAGGCAAAAAGTTCAGGTAATAAATTTATTATGTGAAAATTTGTCTGGTAGGTTTACTATTAAAGCATAACACATAATTTGCTAACTGTATTGATTTCTTTCATAAATTTGCGAAGTGATTGATTTTACAAACAACTCAAGAAATAAGCTCTAACTGTAGCTCTTGATTAGGAAGTAGAAATGATTTGAACCCGAATAAAGTAACGAGTACATGAGGTACACTACACGTATAACGAATTGAATATTTCAGAAAATCTAATAACTATCTGATGTACTTTCTGATGAAATAGAACCTCATTTGAGGACGCAAGGTTCTCATTGGGAAGGTGAAAACCTCTCGATTGAAGCAAGAAAATATCGAACGTCGAATTTGAGTGGCGACCACCGGACAATAAAATGAAACTGATGAACAGGTGACTGTTTCGAATGTTTTCGAATATATCAGTTTGAAGTCAAGACAACAATATCTTTTCATCACAAATGATTCTGTGCAAATTAATAAAACTGAAACTTAGCAGACAAGTGTGAGTAGATCTTCTAAAATGATATTCAGTTAATCAACTTGATTTCACTCATATCTACTTTGAATTTTTTCAATGTAAAGACATCTCATCTACCTAACTTTTTCGATTTTTCACCTCAGTTCTGAATTGACTCCAGCGGAAACTTTGAAGACAAGTCCTTTCGAATATAGTGAATTTATATACATATATGATCTCAAAATTTTGTTATCTTCATTTGAAAATGTACTAACCGTATCTGCAATTTCTATTACGGAAGTGTAACAGAAAACACTTTTCAAAATCACAAAGAAGAAAGATTCAGATATTAAGAAATGATTCAAATATCAAGTTTTCATTTTCATACCCACCATTTAATTCGAAGAGTGACAGTTCCAAACCACCAAAATCCTTGGGTAGCGATTGAACCGGTATGATTTCTTTAAGAAATTTGTCCTGAACTTTCTCAGTATTATAACTGTAGTTGAAGAAAGTTGAAGACCAGATAGAAGTGCAATACCCAATCATTGATCTTACCAATGGAAAGTATGGTATTTCAATAAAAGAAATGTTGGTGGAATCTTTTGTTGATCTGCATATGAATCCTAACGTTTTCATCGCTTTGTTGGATATGTGTTCATACTGTGAATGAATCCATCATAACACTCAGATCTCGTATAGATTGTACACGTTCCAACTTTTTCCCTGCAATACCAATACCAGGCGTATGGAAGTTGAATGACTTTGAAAAGGAAATACATTTTCATTTTGTCACACTGACATCCATGTGATTCATTTAACATCAATCTGAGAAAGATTTAAGGTCCAATTGAATTTCCGCCCAATCCTGCTATCACCCTGAACATTTTTAGATCGTCAGCAAACATCAGTATTTCGCGAGGTGAATTATTTCTTTGATATCATCAACATAGGTATTGAAGAGCAAAGGTCCCAAGTGACTGCCTTGAGGTACTCCTGGGGTATCAGATATCTCATGAGAAATTAATCCTTTAATTTCAAAAAACTGTGATCTATCACAAAGATAACTCAAGAACCAGTCCAACAAACTCACAAAAAAGCCAGTTGGCTTTGATTTCCACAAAGAAGTTCATGGTTCACGATGTCAAATGTTTTTAAGAAATTGATATGAATTACGTCCATTTATCATTTTTCAGAACATTCAAAATATACTGGATATACAACAGGAGATATTCGTTGGTAGATATACATTTACTAAATCCATTCTCTTTATTGATAATCACTTGTTTTGAAAGAATCTTCATATTATCACAAACGATGTGTTCAAGTAGTTTGGGTATTGTACTCAATATGCTGAGCGATCAAATATTATTCCTGTCTGCTTTGTTAACAGACTTCAAAATTGGCGTTATATAACTTGATTTCCAAATTAGAGGGAATTTTGTGAAACTAAGTGAAGGTGAGAATAATAAGAACAATGATTCAGCTAGTGTTAATCTACAGGTTTTCAGTAGCATCGGTAAAAAGCCATGTGATCCTGGACCCTTGTATGGATCTAATTCTGATAATTACGTACTCGGAATCTGTACATTTATTGATATCGAATGTTTCCCCATAACCTAATAATGGTATTTCATTGTCTATATGTGGTCTGTAAACTGGACTCCAAATGCATTAACAATGTCATTTCTATTCCATGTTAGGAATCACACGTTAAAAGGTAAGACCTCGCTAGTCCTCAGCTCGCACAGGTTTCAAGGGGCGCACAAGGGGCGACAGCTGATTACCGAAAAAACATATTTTAAACAGATTTAAAGAGATTCATCCCCAGAGTACATAGTATCAGGAAAGACATAAATTTCCCGTTTGAAAATTCCAAAATTCCAAAAGCTTTTCATGTTTGATGTCAAGTTATTTTCAATTCTTTTAATATAATCATCATGACAAATTTTTGACGCCAGTTTGCATCGGGCTCTGAGATATGAAAATATTCGGTAGTCATCGCAAAAATTATAAAAAATGTTTGTAGCCGCATTTATATCTGTTATGTTTTTCATATGATATTCCCAATCAATATCAGCTGAATAATAATCCAATCCAGTATAAATGACTTTCTAAATACTCTAATTCCTCAAGATTATACACTGTTGATGAAGTAATTATAACTGCTATGTGATGAGCATCGCATGGCAACAAGTAGTCATTACATGAAACTACAATACATATGAGTGAGCCCTTCACAAAAATCAGATCTACCATTACACCCGTAATCCTTATTCTGTTGTAACTATATGTCTGTTCATTGATATTTTGGTCACTATATTCTTATAGTCTGCTTTATGCCCTCGACAGAAGAAAATTGAATCTGCAAGCAGATGACCTTGTTCACTTGAAAAGGTCCACGTCGGAAGGGGTAGCTTGTAATATCCTCCAAAGCACGATGAACGTTGTTCGCAGTTGGTGCCTGAGGGAGCAGATGTCTGTCAACCACAGTTAAACTCTGGTAATCTCCTTCAACAGGAGGAGAAAATTGGACGATCTAACGCCACTTTCCCTGAACGGTGAGGTCATTTTCTCTTGGTATTGTCCTTGATGAAAAACTCACCTGGAACGCTCACTTGGAAAAAGTTTTACACAAAGCCAGACTGTCCCTATGGACCTAAATGAAGTAAGAGCACACATCAATTCCTCACCATGTTACGAAAGCCATTACTCTCGTGAACAAAGTAAGAGACAGTATTTAGGACCCGAACTGAGTAAAACAAAAATGTACAAGTTGTACTTGGCTAAATGTGAAGAAGACCGCATTTCCTATCGAGGAATGGTGAAGCTTTGGGTATATGAAAAATGTTTTGATACAGAATTTAATTTAGGATTCAAAAAACCTTCAGTTAATACTTGTGATGGGTGTGATAATTTTACTTTAAGGCCGAAAGATTCCCAAAGTAGTGAAAAAGAAGTTATCCAGCAATAATATGAAAATCATTTGGAGGAAGCAGACAGGCGATATGAAATCGAGAGAAATGATGAAGANTGTGCGGAGACATTGGAAGAATCCAACCTCATACACATGTCAATGAAAATATTCTCGGACAGTCAAGCGGCGTCTAAATTGGTAGCGAATTGCCAAAAGCCACCCTCCTTGATAGAAAGACTCAACAAATTGTCTCTGGTCAGGATTCCTGGTCATACTGGTTCGGAAGTCAATGAGCCTGCTGACTCCCTTGCAAAGAAGGGTGCTGCAAGCAGCATTATCAAACCAGCCATTGGCATCGCTCTAGGCATTGCCAAATCAATATTGTGAAGATGACAAAAAGATTTATGGACTTCTGGCAGAATCTTCCAGGATTGGCCCACTCCAAGGCATTTATTCACCCTAGAAGCTTGATAACAAACAGTTGGTGGACTACATTCCCATCAGTCTTTGAATAAAACTCATGTTGATATTTTATTATTTGTACATTGATCAATTTCATCAATACAATTTCTACTTACCCTAGAAGCAAGCTTTATCTTCACAAGTGATTTGAGCAAATTTAATATCCTGTATGCAAATGGAGGACAATTCACGAAATGAAACTGTTTTATTCTGCTGCTGTAGACTTTCTGGAAAAATGATAGATGATTGTTTACATGATTTGTTAAAAACATAAAGGGGATTAAAATGCGATAAGAGTCTTTAGAGGATGTTTGTCACAGTTTTAACTATTTTCTCGATCTCTAAATTACATAAGATTATAGTTTGGAAACTATAATATGTTTCATCTGCAAAGTTCAATGGGTTACTTTTTGTAACAGGAATGATAACTTCATGTTTTCGAAAGCTCAATATGAGGGATACCAAGGAGTAGAGTGAGTAGAAAGTAGGATCAAAATAAATTAAGTCGAATGGAAAACACTAATAATGCAGTCATATTGTTACTATTCATTTGACGTGAAGAACATTTGAGAACTAAGGATTGAATTTG